CAAACCTCATACCGAAAGCCCCACAACCGAGACCCCAAGCCCCAAACTCAAAGCTTCAAGCCCCACACCGGTAATCCTAAGCCCCAACCCCAAACCTTAAACACCCAATTCCGAAACCGGAAACCGTCAACGCCACACCCAATCCCTGTCCAACATCCTAGGCCTCAAACCCCAAACCCTGAACACCCAGACCCGAAGCCAAAAATCCTAAGCGCCAAACCCCAGACCCTACATACCCAAACCCCGACTCCCAACCAACCCTAACCCCCAAATCCAACGCCCCAAACCTCAAACCCTAAACACCAAAAATATCCAAACACAAACCCAGAGCACCGCAGTCCGGATCCCCAAAACTCAAACCCCGAAGTAGCGCACGCTCAGCTCGAAGCCCCAAACCCCAAACCTTATACACCTACACCCCGAACACCAAACCCCGAAGTCCCAAGCCCCCCAACGCAAAGCTCCCAACCCCGAACACCGAAAACCCCACAGCCCAAACCCAGAACCCCAAACGTTAAATGCCAAATCCAAAACCCCAAGACCTAAACAAGCCCATAACTCCAAAACCTTTACCCCTATGAAAAGCCCTAAGCATTTTGCTTTAAAACCCCAAACCCAAAGCCCCAACCCAAAGCTTCAAACCGAAACCTTGAACAGCCAAAACCCACACCGTAAACAGCCAAACCCCCAAGCCCAAACCGAAACCCAAACCCTTCAACACTCAAACCATGAACCCCAGGAAGAGAAAAGGACTTTTGGATTTTTCTGGGTCTGTGTGTTGTAGTGTCGACTACGAAATGACATTTATGAGCACTACGAGCACCGTACGCGGTGCGAATAATTTCAAGCAGTAATGGGTCAACAAGTCATGTTCCTAAAACAGCTTACAGAGCTGCAAAATATTTCCTTACGGTTAAAATAGTCAACAATTTCTGCCGTCCGCGCTCAGAGCGGGTGACTGTGCAGCCTTCTTTTCCGCATGTTTGCCTACCAAAGACCGTCCAGGCCCCCAGGCCCCAGATCGCCGCGTGATTTAGCGTGATTTCGCGTGAAATCTGGGCCAAACGTACAACTTGAGAGCGTACTCGCGTGACAAAGCGTGAAACAGCGTGAATTTGTGTGAAATCTGCTTTTCTCAGCCATGGACACCATGTAAGACCACGCGAAGAAGTCTCATTGTTGTTGCAAATACGCTGTGAGCTTGCACTGTCAAGAACTTGTCACGACACAAGCACACGCCATAACTCTTGGGGTAAGCTCGGGCGCAGTTACACTTGCATACATTTATTTGTTCGGGCTGTGAAGACATGTCGCTGGATTTTTGGGCCTATCTTTTCAAACTACATCCATGCGCTGCAGGGATTCTTGAGCTGGTGTGCCCATTGACCGCAGTAAACAGAATAATAGTCGGCAGTCGTCGACGTCGTCGTAGTAGTGGCAGCAGCAGCAGCAGTTGTTGTGGTGGTGCGACTAGTCAGTCTTACAATACAACAGTCGCAGCGTCATTGTCGTCGTTGTCGCAATCGTCGTCGCTTTGGTATTCACACGCGAACTCAACTCCACGCTACACCTTCCATGCGCGTAAAGTTAAATCCTGAAGCCAACACCCCTCAGCTCCAAAGCCACTTGTCGTCCCAGAACGGCGTGATTTTAGCATCATTTTTTGGCTAAACCTAAAGGCCAGCACCCTAAACGATAGAACGATGCTTTAAACCAGAAATCACGACCCTAAAGCCCAGGCTTTACACCCTAAACTTAAACCCCTGCCGACCCCGTGAGCCTAAAAGATCAGGAAGGGAGCAGTTATTTTGGCTCAATTTTGCGGCAGACAAAACAAAACTGATTGGAAGGGATTGTTTTAATATTGTGTTTCCAGACCGGGCAAACAAGCACTTTCCAGAAACGTCCCAAAATCTTGGTCGAAGCCTTGTCAACAAGATTCTTGCCACAATCGCGCTAAACAAATGTTGTATGCATTGTATGTATATGTAGGTATGTACGGCGGAACCACAAATCCCAAGGACAAGTTTCCTGTATTTGGCAAATTCAACATAGATTTATCTTCTCGGAATCGCGACTCAAAACTGGATGCGCAGCGGGGCTCAACCCAAGAAGCAAGGACCGCACGCAAACTCGGGGTCTCTTTTAAGTGCATAGTGCTCGACACTGGAGTCCAGAAGCTTCAGAGCTGTGCTGTCCGTGTTTTTGGAAATGGCATCCGCCAGAGAATATGAAGCGAAGGGTCGATTTCCAGCTTTTGCAAACCAGAGTCGCAGGCTCGGATTCCAGAATGCTTTCGAAATGCTCGGGCAAGCCTTGTGGCCGCGACCTACCCGAAGCTATGAGAAGTAAATAGAACTCATTTATGTATGTATGTCTCCAAAGACATATAAGCTTGTCGCTCACGCATGCCGTAAGCAGTGCTTCACCTTTCTGGGTTCAACGGGGGCCCACCGGCCAGTCACCGAACACGACAGTGCAAAGCATTTTAATTTGGGACCAACCCATCAGCCGCCTAACAGGAGAATGCGCAACTTTTGAAGCACTGTGCGCTGCTACAGGTGGGCAAGAAGCACCCAAAAGACACAGACTTTCGAGTTTTGCCCGATGAAGAAAAGCTTCTTCAGCCGCCGCGAAAAGAGATCGAGGCTACAGCTTCTCCAGGACTGCCAATTATGTGTCCGAGACCCTCCAGGAGACCTTGTTTTTGGTCGTTTACAAATAACTCGTTCGAGAAGAACACCGAAATGCATCGTTTATGGTTAAGTATGTATGTATATATTACGTATAGATGTATGCATGTATGTATCCAAAAGTATCAAGTCCAGCAAATAATCGACCTTGGGATCAAGTCCAGCAACTGAGTCGACTTCGCCAAGTGCACTATATAAGCATACTCGGATCTATACACAATCATAGGCATACATTAAACATGCGTGACATACGCATGTACATATACATCATGTATGCGTACATGATTGCATACGTTAGTGCAGGCACGTTCGCGCATTTACATACACATACATCATTTACATACACTTACATACATATACATATACTGACCAAAATTTACATAATTAATTTGACATGTTCATACAATACACGACATATACACGTACCTACACATACATAAATACATACATGCCTACAAACACATACACAAGCATACTCGTGCATGCTCTTCCTTACACATACATACAGACACACATACACATACACATGCACATGCACATGCACATACATACACATACACATACACATCTACATGTACATGATTGTACATGTACATGTACATGTACATATACATATACATATACATATATATATATATATATATACATATACATATACATATACATATACATATACATATACATATACATATATATACATATACATATACATATACATATACATATACATATACATATACATGTACATAAACATATACCTAATACTTATATCTATACATATACATATACATATACATATACATATACATATACACATACACATACATATACATATACATATACATATGCATATGCATATACATATACATATACATATACATATACATATACATATACATATACATTTACATATACATATACATATACATACGCATACAATACACATACGCATACACATACGGATACACGTACACGTACACGTGCGCGTACATGTACACGTATACACACACATACATACACACATGTACATACAAACATGCATATATACATCTACATGTTCATGTACATATGCATGTACACATACACATACATATTCATATGCATACTTATACACATAAACATAATACATATACATTCACATGTACATATACATATACACATACACATGAATACAATAAATATGCGTATAAAGGTATGTATTCATGTACATGCATATATGTATATATACATACAGGCATGCTGACATACGTACGCTCATACACCCATGCATGCATACATGCATAAATGTTTGCTTACATGCGTGCACCCATGAAGCGGTGCACGTATGCATATACGTACATACATATATAAGGATACATGCATGCAGATTGACATAGGTGCACTCACGCACAGACGTGGTGTGCACTTCCATGTCCGTACTGCATGTTCCGCAGCGCATGCATGTGTCCAGATGTCAAACATCGCATGTTCTGTGTCATTTAGGCAGCTTCAATTTTTGATCGTAGGCTTCGGTAAAGATCGAATCATTGTTGCATCTTGCATATGCGCACCCATGAAACGATACACATATGCATCTTAGCATACGTACATACGTATATAAGCATACATGCATGCATGCAGATTGACATAGGTGCACTCACGCACAGACGTGGTGTACACTTACATACCCGTACCGCATATTCCGCAGCGCATGCATGTTTCCAGATGTCAAACATCGCATAATCTGTGTCATTTAGGCAGCTTCAATTTTTGATCGTAGGCTTCGGTTAAGATCGAATCATTGTTGCATCTTGCATATGCGCACCCATGAAACGATACACATATGCATCTTAGCATACGTACATACGTATATAAGCATACATGCATGCATGCAGATTGACATAGGTGCACTCACGCACAGACGTGGTGTACACTTACATACCCGTACCGCATATTCCGCAGCGCATGCATGTTTCCAGATGTCAAACATCGCATAATCTGTGTCATTTAGGCAGCTTCAATTTTTGATCGTAGGCTTCGGTTAAGATCGAATCATTGTTGCATCTTGCATATGCGCACCCATGAAACGATACACATATGCATCTTAGCATACGTACATACGTATATAAGCATACATGCATGCATGCAGATTGACATAGGTGCACTCACGCATAGACGTGTTCTTCGTCATTTAGGCAGCTTCAATCTTCGATTGTAGGCTTCGGTTATGTTCGAATCACTGTTGCATCGGATGAACTGATTGCTGCAGAGCGCTATGGACATACCATGCAACATTTGCATGCTCTGTGCATTGTGACGCCTGCATAGGTGAAGGCCAAAGCCAAGGTGCAACATTTGAGTTCGCTGAATGAGGTTTGCAAATTCCGCGTTTGTGTCGGTGGTTGTAGGTATAAGCTCTCCTTGGATCGTGCTTACGCCGTTTCGCACACCCCCTTCCTGCGCCCCCATCCTCCACCAAACCGCGGACCGGCGTGCCATTTTAGCTTTCGACCGGGTAGATTTGGCATGTGAGCAATATCTTCTGCTTGTATATTGCATTGTCCTTGGACAGCAGGCAGCAACGCCGGCCGCAGGCCTTCCCGGCTACGTCTAGAATTTAAAAGCATTGCTTGAAGAGGGAGACATGATCCATGACACGCCTTTGTGTTTCCTGAATTGCTGTGGTGCTGGTTTACTGGCGCTTCACGTGCCGGGGTGTCAAAACATCTTGTGCAGGCCAAGTTGGAGCTCAGGTTGTAGACAGTTCGGTGAACCACAGGACCAAACGAGGGAACTGTTGCAAACACCCGGGACTGTGGTGTCCATGGTCTCAGTCGTTGGTCCGAGAAGCCAGCAGGAACCTATACTTGTACGGTCGAGAGTCTTGACGGAACATCCTTCCTGGATTCATGAAGCTTTGCGGCTGCACGAAAAAGTCGTGCATACAGAACGTAAAGTGGTACTCTCCCCTTTCTTTATCCCCTTGCCCTTTCATCGTTTGGAAAATCTTCCGTTGGTACGAAAACTACGGAAACACATTCTTTTGAAGAATCCTGCAGGCATTCTGCTCTTGGCAGGCTAAGGGCCAAGGGCCGTCAGATTGTTTTTGTTTGCGCGGTGCAGCAGGTTGTCCCCAAATTTAGGAGAGCTTTGTCATCCCGGAAGGTGCCAGCCGAGCCCCACCGCCAGCGCAGGCCGGTGGGGCCCGCACTAGCAATCCGGTTGAGTTAATGTGACCCCAGTCGGGCAAGCCTTTGCAAGCACTCAAGCTTATCGCCTTTCCAGAAGGCTGGGTGGTTCATGCGCTCTTGGACTGTTGGTGGTCGTCTTGTAAGTATATTCTGCCCATGTGTCGCAGGCGGAAGATGCGCTCGTGGCACGCTTAGTCTAGCAGGTGAATATGGGTCCGTCTGCATCGTGAATGCAGGCGAAATGTGGTTGCAGTCCTATTCGCAGCTATTCTTGGGCTCCCTGTTTTGGAGCTGCAGTTGGAATACCCGAGCCGTTCTTTGAGTCGGCGCATCGCGCGAAACTTGCACACCGCACGCGCCGATGTTGCAATTGAAGTGGCAACGGCTTTGTATCCTGAAAGTGTGATTGGATGGGATGGCTGCAAGGTCGCGGTCAAGAAGGAGACTTCCAGGCACCCGGCCGCGTTCTGTCGGCCTCGGCCTCTTCTCCGGCCTTTCTCTTCGCCGCCTCGCCTTTGCCTCGCCTTTGCCTTTGCAGGTCTCCGAGCCCTGGCCAGGAGGCGCACGCTTCGCCGCTTCACCGCTTCGCTTCAGTTTGCCACGAGTCCAGTCCAGGCTTCCAAAGCGGGCCGGCCTCGCAAGGTCGGGACCAGAAGGGAAACTTTTTTCCGGGATGCGGGACATGATTGCAAGCTCCTTTTCATGTCTAGGGCACCGCAGCGCAACTCAGGCTTGGTTGCAGTGCATTCGCACGTGCATTCTGGAACTCGGCGGTCGGCGTGCCATGGCGTGCCGAGGCCGAGGAGAAGATGCCGCCGCAGCACGTGGAGGAGAAGCTCAGGTCTCAGACTTCGGAAGTGCGCCAGGACTTGGCCCTTTTGCCTCCCCGCCGACCTGACATAGTTCCCCGCTGCAAAATGTAGCGTTCTCAACATTCCTGGGTGGGATGGTTCTGTACGTTGCAGTCGGGCTTTGATGACCAGAGTCTTGTCGTCGCACCATATGGTCAGGCTTACCCCCGTCATCGAGTGAGCACAGAAGAGAAGTAGAAGCCGCATGATCAACCGCCGCTGTCCTCAAGTCTCAGTGTCCCTATGAAATCGTTCTAGAGATAAGAGAAAGGGCAGTCAGGAAGGAGTACTGTTCGATGCGTGTGGTGCATTTGATTTGCGCCGGAGGTCGTAGGCTGGAGGACTAGATCGCTATCTTGGCCATCAGGATCAGACAGCAAATCCATCTATTCGCATCCGCCCGGTGGCAGAGAGCGAGTCGAGGTGGCACTGCGTCCCTCGCAAACTCCCAGGTCACGGCCTGCTCCGACGAAGCAGAAGGCCTGCCGCCGTTCTCCTGCGTCTGGAGAGAGAGAGACAGAGAGAGAGAGAGAGAGAGAGAGAAGAACCTGGGGGTCTCACTAAGCACAGACAAACCAGTGCGCGCTCGCGCGCGAGGGGGTTGCACTGCGCGCCCTCTCTGTCTGAGTGCAAGCAAGAGAGAGAGAGAGAGAGAGAGAGAGAGAGAGAGAGAGACAGGCCTTCACACTCCTCCAAAGCCGCCACAAATATTGGGGGGCCCTTGTGGCCGAGGAGCGTCAGACACCCCTCATGCCCCGGGGAAGAAGAAGAAGAGGCGTCAAAATTGTCAGTTCATTTTCACTCAACGGCGGCCACCTTGTGAGAAAGTTGTTCTGGACCTGCACGAGAGTCTCCCGTGATCGGGATGCTTCATCTGCAAGTGAGCACGCTTGACGGTAGCATCCCCACAGGAAAGCGAGCGGATTTGAGTTTAATCTGCAAGCCTGGCCTGCAGCCTGTGCCGGTGGCTGCTCGCGGCCCGCGGCCAGAGGGTGTAAAGGCTTCAGCGTCGAAAGCCAAGGCAGGTCTGCAGCAGGGTTTCTGGGGTCTAGGGGCTTCCGCGCATTGGATTCCCCGGGAATGTATTGGCAACGTTGAGGTGCCGGAAAGATGACGATCGTGTTTTTCTGAGCCTGGGCGCGGAAGCCAGAAACATGCACATGTTCAGTCTTGCAGGCTACTCCGCCTCTACAGCAAGGTGCGACAGATGGTGGTGAAGGGTTTCGGTAAGCAGGTATAGACGGGGGGTGTTGAGCATATGGCAGCACTCAGATTCGGGTTACACATTTGACAACTGCACTTCTCCAAAAGCCGCTCGGGCTATTCACTCAGGAATGCACCGGCGCTAGACACGCAGAGAGGTCTTCGTCCCTAATGTGCTCATGTGACGTGCAGGATGGGTCAAATGTGTGACTGACAGGCAGTGCAGCTTTGTCGAGTGAAACCGGGAGAGCTACTATTGTTGCGGATGCTCGTCTGGCCCAATCGGGCATTGCCAACAATCAGGGGATGGCCACGATTCTTCTTTCGGCAGCAGTTGGTTGATTCACGCATTGCAGACACGCGTCGCAGGACCCAGCACCTCCCGACCTCCCTAGTCTCTGTCGCCTCTTGTTTCTCTATGTCCTTCCGTCCCTCTCCCTTCAATCTCCCTCCCTCCACTCTTCTTCACTGCAAACGTTGCGGACAGCCTGCAAGCATAGGTGATTCTTCCCTGTGTTCGCATGCGAAGGATGTGTCCTGGCGCACGGTTGACCAGTCCATGCGCGTCCAAAGTTACGAATTCGGGTTGCCAGTGTTCAAGTGTCGGCCTTTCCCGTGCCAGGAAGCAAAGCCAAGCCAGGCGTCTCGGTACCTCAGGCAGGACCTCCCTCCCGACGCGCTCTCGAAATGCTAAGTCCTGAAAGTCAGTGCCTTGCTCACGGATTCACTTTCGCAGCATGACAATGCCGAGAAGTTGAAGACATCGGGACTGTGGTGAGATGGTTGTGTGCCACCGCGACTGCGCCACATGCCGCCTTGATGCTCAGAGCTGATCACGGGCTTCCATGAGTGTAAAAGATGCCCAGCAGATGGTAGGCATCGCAGAAACCACTGCCGGTCATACTCGAAGCATGAAGGAGCAACAAGAATCTTAAGGGATACTCTGTCCCTGCAGTAGCAGCACGCCTTGAAATGTTAGGCGTCTAGGAAGAACGGCGGCCCGGCCAACGTTTCTCGAGATCGCTCCCTCGCTGCCCTCTGTGCACCTCTGCTCGCGACTTGTCACAGTAAGGTCACAAGCTCCTGAGCAGCCAGTGGTTCCCAAAGAAGGTGATTTCGAATCGCTTCGTGCTGCGCGTACCATGCTGAAATGTGTGACGACGACAAAGGTTGCAAGGCTGGTAAACGTGAATTTTGCACATCGGTTTTCATGATTTCTGGCCCAGGCTTCCAACATTGAGGCGCTCTCAGTCGCATGGCCGCTGAGGCAAGAGGAGCAGAGGGTTTGTTCCAAGCTGCGGGAGGGTCGGGGTCGCACCAACGGCAGGTCATTATCTTACTAAGCCAGAGTCTTGCTCAACTTGCCTTCTCGAACTCCCGGTTGGCACTGCAAGGTGCCTTGGTGCCGTATAGAAGGTGGTGCGGAACTCAGCACCTTCCCATGAGGTTTACATGGGAAAGAACCTGTTGAGCTCCAACTGGGCAGTTTGCGGAACGGAAGTTGTTCCTGAGCTCTAGGTGAGACAGGCGTGCTCCTGCCTCTTTTCAAAGATGAGTGGTCCTGGAATTTGCTGGGGCCTTGAGGTGAATGTCCATGATAAGACAAGCCCCTCCGGTGGAAAGCAGGGGTGGTGGTACTGTTTTTCATAGCTTTCTATCGGATTCCATCGTTTTTTTGTTATCCGTTTTTGGCTTCTAGATTCTAGGTCAGCCAGCAAGCCAGCAGGCCAGCAGGCCACCAAGCCAGCTAGCAAGAAACCAGCAAGCCAGCCATCAGCTGGCAAGCAGGCAAGACAGGCGACAAAATTATAAAGTATGACCGACCAACCACCATCGCCTAATGTTGCTGCTTAGGAAATGGGATCAAGCGACGGTGGAGATATAGAAGGATTGGGATCCGCTGCTGTGTCAATTGAGGGAGCGCGGTTAAGATACAGTATCAACCGCCGTCGGTTGGTGACGGGGCGGTATACATCGGCTTGAGAAATAAACGGGATCAACCGCGCTTAAGAAAATGGCATCAAGCGTTATAGCAAAACCAGGGGCGGTAGTAGCGATATGCTTGTGTCCATGCCAGACATGTGTCAGAACAACGCCTCACCGGCAAAATTCCGAATGGCTCAAGTGAGAAAAGATCGGCATCAGAGCCCACGTCGAGGACGGAAGATGGTGAAGGCATGGAGGAGTAAGGGTTTGGGTTTTGAGATTTAGGGCTAGTGCACTTATGTAGGACCTCTTTTGTGTACAGTTCATGCTGTGTGTCTGTGTATATACCGCAGAGGTGTTACGGACTTAAGCGATAGCCCTGCGTGCTAAAATCGTTTTGCATGGTAGCGGAGCGCTGCTCCTTGCCAGGGAACCTTTGAGGCGGTCGGCCAGGTCGTCTCGACCTTGGCCCGGCGGAGGTCGAGGTTGGCCCGTGTATGTGTGGGCGCTGCGCTTGCTGCACCAGAAGGGGGCGAGCGGCGAGAGCCCAAAGGAAGCGGGCGAGACTGGTGCTGAGGCACCGAGCTGAGGAAGCTCCAAAGGATCTTCCACAACACAGGGGTGTACCTGCAAGGCTTCCCCCGGGCACTGCTCAATCGGCTTTCTAAGCAAAACCTCGATTGATGTATATTGATGTCCCAGCCGGGTGGCCCACTTCAGCAAACAGAGATGGCAGCGCTGTTGCAGCAGCTGGCCCAGGGACAACAAGGATTGGTCCAAGCCTTGGAATGACAAGCGACGGAGTCGATGTTATTTACGCAGAGGAGTGAGGCAAGCTCAAACTCCGTTAGAGGGCAAATCCTCCAAGTTGCCCAGGCTGTGCAGGAGGCAGCTGATAATAAGGCGAGGGGCTCGTCAAAGACGGCAACAAAGCCGCCCAGCTTGACCGGGCACAGCAAAGACGCCCTTAGCTTCGAGAGCTGGCTGTTCAAGTTCCGGATCTGGTTGGAGGCAAGCCACAAGAATGGGCCGGACATCGTGGAGCACCTGATGAAGAAGGTGTACGAGGAAGGAGAGCTGAAGCTTTCCGATATGCCCGACGGCGCCGAGTATGTTTCTACTCGGGCCCGTCTGGGGCTGGTCTTGTGAAGAACGTGGCTGCCGGGAAGAGCCAAGGCCTTGAGGCACTCCCGAAGCTGATCCGGAGGTACGATCCGGTCCTCGAGAAGGACCGCAACCGCGGCAAGAAAGGCAAGAAAGGAAAAGGAAAGAAGGCTGAGCCGCGAGAGGCAGCGATAGGCGAGGCGTTTTCTAGAGGAAGGCGCCGGTTCACGCCAGGAGCCATGCAGGCGCTGACCCAGGCCCTATATGAGGTGCAGTCGGCGTCCGCCAAGGCCACCGGCGTAGCAGTGAGCCGGGCCAGGACGGCCCAGAAAGGCGAAGGCGGAGAAGCCATGAAGATCCGCACCGACGAGCTGAAGGCGCTCCAGAAGAAGTTTTCTGAGGATCCGCGCAGAGGCGGCGAGCGAGCGTCGCAGAGAAGAGAAGGACGAGAAGAAAGAAAAGAAAGAGAAGGAAAGGCGCACAAAGGACAAGGAGAAGAAAGAGAAGCGCAGGAAGGAAAAGGAGAAGAAAGAAAAGGACCGAAAGGATAAAAAAAAAAGAAGGAAAAAGAGAAGAAGGAGAAGGACAAGAAAGAGGAGACCCGCGATCGGAGGCGCAGCGAGCCGAGCCGAGGTGACGCGCAAAGGCGAGGCCCGTACCCAGAATCGTGCCAAGAATTTGAAGAAGAGGACCGAGGACTGGAAGGAGCACGAGCGTGGCCTGGGGAGCGATGCTTATGATAAGCTGAAGAAAGGCGAGCGCTGGGATGACGACGAGGAGCTCCCGGCACCGAAGTTGCGGGGTATGACGCGCAAGCCCCACCTGCGCCACCGATGCGGCAAAGTGGTGCGCGTGAGGAAGTACGGGTCCAAGGCGGATGCCAGCGGGGATCTCAAGGAGTATGCCCGAGGTCGAGCCGTCCCACGAGGAAAGCGAGCCAGCCGAGGTTGATCCACCTGTGGCCGTGGGCGATCGGGGGTTCAGCCTGCAGGACGTGCAGCGGGCTGTGGCTGCGAGCCTGGCACAGTTGGGTACCATCCCGAGACCGTTGCGAAGGCAGGGCAGCGTTGCCCGGCCTGACTGGGCCAAGGCAGAGCCGAATGTACTGGCGCCAAAGACCCACAAGGTACCGGCAAAGAAGCCAGAGAATCCCGAGAAGCGAGACAAGAGCAAGCCCGCAGAGCCAGCTGAGCCGCCATCGCTTCAGGCCGCGGCGACGGCGAGCTGCGCGAGAGCAGCCTGACGCCGCCGAAGAGGCAGCCGCTCCTTTTGTCTGGTGGGCCGGGTGGCACCGAGAGATCCTGGGTACAAGATCCCCCATCTTGCTGGCCCTTGGTCGGTGGGGGGGGGGGTGGAAGTGCATTCGAGGGCCAGGGCTGGAAGGGGGGGGGGGGGGCTTGTAAATGCAATGCGCTGCTTCGGAAGTGTTTGGCTCTGTTTGGAAAAGCTTGCCACGACTGTGCGCCCCATAGTGGGTGAGCTGCTGAACGCGCACAGCTTTGCACAGGTTCCCCGTGAGCGGCACAGCCGTTGGTTTGGTTGTCCTCAAACTTCGGCTGCCGTTCTTGCAGAAGACCACGGCTCCGCGGTACACACACACAACACACAAGGCCAAGCTAGATGGCATCTGCACAGGTCGCGCACTCCATTGACATCCCCGCAGTTTGGAAGGGTCTTGAATGGGTGGCTGCTGGCAGTCGACGTATGAGGAGTTTGGAATGGGGGCGGACCCTTTTTAGACCTTTCCGGGGTTACCCATTGCAGACCCCCTACAAGAACTATGAAATGCTGAGGGGGACAAGAAACAACCCAGCGCCGAATCCCGGAAACGGAGAACCCCTATGTGGAGCCTTGCCTGCTGCGTGCGAGAGTGAGCGACGAAACCCCCAAATCCTAAACCAGGCAACCCCAAACCCAGAAACCCTGAAGCCAGAACCCAAGCCAGAAAACCCCAAACCAGAAACCGTGAAGCCAAGAACCCTCAATCCAGAAATCCTAAACCCAGCAACACCGAACCCGGAAACCCTGAAGCCAGAAACCCCAAACCCAGAATCCCCAAATCCAGAAACCCTGGAGCCAAGAACCCCAAACCCAACAACCCCAAAACCCAGAAACCCCGAACCCAAAAACCACAAAACCAGAGACCCCAAACCCAGAAACCCTGAATCCAAAAACCCCGAACCCCAAGCCCGACAACCGCAAATCCACAAACCCTGAAGCCAGAACCCAAGCCCAGAAAGCCCAAGACCAGAAACCGTGAAGCCAAGAACCCTAAACCCAGAAGTCCTAAACCCAGCAACACCGAACCCGGAAACCCTGAAGCCAGAATCCCCAAATCCAGAAACCCTGGAGCCAAGAACCCCAAACCCAACAACCCCAAACCCAGAAACCCCGAACCCAGAAACCGCAGAACCAGAAACCCCGAACCCACAAGTCCTAAGCCCGGCAGCCCCAAACCCAGAAACCCTGAAGCTCTCCTGTCGAACAGCTCTTCGATGTGCCCAACATCGGGGGACTCACACCGGCGTATGGACGTTCTCTTATAGCAAACCGCAGGCTCCGGACAGGGTCACCACCCGGTTTCAACACTCCAAACCGGGGCCGGTTTGGGGTGCTGAAACCCGGTGGTGCCCTGAACAGGCTCCCGAAACTCGCTGGTAGGTTTTATCCGGCCCCGGTTTGGAGTCCTGAAACCGGTCGGTGGCCTGAAGGGGCTCCCTAAACTCGCTGGTGCCCCGAATCTGAGGTTTTATCCCGCCCCGGTTTGGCGTGCTGAAACCGTGGCGCCTGAATGGGCTCCCTAAGCTCGCTGGTGCCCCGAACCTGAGGCTTTATCCGGCCCCGGTTTGGAGTCCTGAAACCGGTCGGTGGCCTGAAGGGGCTCCCTAAACTCGCTGGTGCCCCGAATCTGAGGTTTTATCCCGCCCCGGTTTGGCGTGCTGAAACCGTGGCGCCTGAATGGGCTCCCTAAGCTCGCTGGTGCCCCGAACCTGAGGCTTTATCCGGCCCTGGTTTGGAGTGCTGAAACCGGGTGGTGGCCTGAAGGGGCTCCCTAAACACGCTGGTGCCCCGAATCTGAGGTTTTATCCCGCCCCGAATGGGCTCCCTAAGCTCGCTTGTGCCCCGAACCTGAGGCTTTATCCGGCCCTGGTTTGGAGTGCTGAAAACTCGCTGGTGCCCCGAATCTGAGGTTTTATCCCGCCCCGGTTTGGCGTGCTGAAACCGTGGCGCCTGAATGGGCTCCCTAAGCTCGCCCGAACCTGAGGCTTTATCCGGGGCGGGATAAAACCTCAGGTTCGGGGAGCATCGAGTTTAGGGAGCCCCTTGAGCACCCCGGTTTCAGCACGCCAAACCGGGGCGGGATAAAACTTCAGGCTCGGGGCACCATCGAGGTTAGGGAGCCATTCAGGCCACCACCCGGTTTCAGCACCCCGTTTCGGAGATCCGGGGATGAATCATGCGCAGCCTGCTGCGACAGTCAGGAAGACAAGTATCCACTGCATTTTGTGCCGTTGTTGCATTCCTGCACGGAACATGTTG